GACTGTCCAGTGTTGACTCTTGCGGGGGAAAATATACCCCCTTCAGAGCGGGTTCACAACTTGGGTGTCCTCCTTGATCCACAGCTGAATTTGGAACATCAATTGACGGCTGTGGCTGGGAGGACCTTTGCACAAGTTCGCCTGTTGCACCAGTTGCGACCCTACCTGGACCGGGAGGCTCTCCTTACAGTCACTCACGCCCTCACGTTTGGACTACTGCAACGCGCTCTACATGGGGCTACCCTTGAAAAGTATTTGGAGACTACAGTTGGTCCAGAATGCAGCCGCACGAGTGATGTGGGTGCTCCTCGATACACCCACGTTACACCTATCCTCCGTGAGCTGCACTGGTTGCCTATTGGTCTCCGGGTCCAATTCAAGGTGTTGGTTATTACCTTTAAAGCCCTATATGGCTCAGGGCCAGGCTATTTGCGAGACCACCTACTACCTCATAGCTCCCTACGTCCAGTTAGATCCCACAGGCTGGGCTTCCTTCGGGCCCCGTTGGCCAAGCAGTGCCATTTGGAGGGGCCGCGGAAGAGGGCCTTCTCTGTGATGGCGCCCACGCTTTGGAATCAGCTCCCCCCGGAGATTAGGACTGCTCCCACCCTGTTGGTCTTCCGTAAGCTACTTAAGACCTGGCTTTTCCGGCAGGGCTGTGGTTTATAAAACCTTACCCCTGGATGATTGTTTTTGTATTGTTGTTTGTTATGTTTTATGTGTTTTTTATTGTTAGCCGCCCAGAGTCCTTCGGGAGTGGGGCGGCTTATAAATTTTAAAAATAAAATAAATAATAAATAAATAAAATAAATTACAGCTGGGTTGTTATGCTAAATTAAGTTGTTGTTTTTTTCCTTTGTTTTGGCATTGATCTGCACCCAATTAACATATGGAACAGGAATGCTCCATCACATATCTTGACATTACAAAGGCACTTTGGCTAATATGAAACCAGTCATGCCATTACTATATTAACATATTACATTAAAGCATAATTTGACCCTGGTTTGTTTAAAATTGACTGGATTTGCAAAACATACTAAACCACAGTTACAAACCACATTATGGTACATCAAGGATAAAGAAATCACTTGTCTTACTAAAGTGCACTAAACTTACAGCACCATTGGTTTCAAAGTTAGTATTAGAAACATTTTAAGAATGCAACCACTTACTTTGGTAGTCTATGAACTAAAGAGAAGGTCACAGTAGTTAGTTATTTTTTATAGGCATTATTAAGTCACTTTGTTTTTTTCTGATAATATAGATCCAGGAAAGCTATTTATTATTTCTAGAAGAAGTGGTTGAAAAGTACTTGTGAGAATATTTAGTGAATACACAGATATATAATTCAGCTATATATTAATAAAGGAATACAGTGGTTTATCAATGGCTGTACAAATATTTTATGGATTGGATTAGACTTAGTCAAATTATAACTTCTCTATAATTCAATTGCTTCTGAGTCTTCATGAGCCATTTCTTAAGAAAATGTCTGTCAAAGACTTTCAGGGAAGATATGTCAAACTAAAGATAGCTTCCTGAAAGCAGATCTGACAACTATAGCAAAGATCAAGCTTGTTGATTTGGCAATTCTTGTATTCTCTCTAGTTAGATATTGTAAAATCTGTAGTATTTTACTAACCATTGAGACAAGCTTAATTGATTGATAAGTGGCACCTGTTTGAACATTATTTAGTATCACCCTTTTTGGTACTGGAGTATAAATTGATCTCTTATAGTCTTTTGGCCATTGCTGTTTTCTACGCTACTTGCCACAGGCCACATTGAAGTGCAGCATTTTGTAAGCTTTTAAATAGTTCTGCTGATATTTCATCAAATCTTGCAGCCTTGATTAAAGTATACTTTTTCTAGAGATCATTGAACCTTACTTACATACCTTTGTATGTGTAATTTCAGTTTGTGACTTTCTTATTTGTATCTTTATCCAATAGTTCTTTGTCTTTTTTGTCTTATATCTTGCCCATCTTTGTATAAAGATTTCCCTTGATTCCTGTAATTTTCTGAAATACGTTGTCCATTCTCACTTGATTATCTTCAACTTATTTGCACTACTTATTTACATTTTTTCTTTTCTTGCTCTTATGTAGAGCTTGACATGGGCAAATTTGTCTCTATTTTTCTTCAGCTATTGTCAATATGTTTGCATATAGCTATTTCCTCTTTCCCCCACATTTTTTTTTGCTTTAATGTTATAAATTTAAGTTCTGAGTTATTCTTTATTCATCAAATCTACTTTCACATAGTCATATTGAATACTGCAGAGATTCTATCTTGTTGGTTTTATGATTGTGTTTATTCTAGCTTAAGTTGTAATTTTGCAATGAGTTTATGATCTGAGTTGCAGTCAGCTAGATCTTGTTTTACTAACTGAATATTGCTTCTAGAATGTACAGAATTCAATTTCAGTATTATTTATATGGTAATATCCATGTATCCAGATGTCTTTGAGATTGTTAAGAGGAATTCATTTGTTATAACCATTGAATTTTCTTGGCATAAATGTATTAGTCTCCTCCTGCTTTGGTTCAGAACCAAGGTCAGATATTCCTATTATTCCAGATGCTGTTACTTTAACATTTCAATCTCTTACAAATAGTATGATACCTTTTTGGTTTTTCTGTCAACAGGGTTTCAAGTCATCATAAAAGTGTTGCACTTCTTCTGGATTTGTGGTATACATTAGGAACATATTTATTGATTTGCTTGCTTTGGACTCAAACTAAAATCATATATTTTGGTTTGTATCTTCACCTTTTTGTTTAGAATAATGACTATTTCATATGTTCTCAGTATATCTTGATGTTCTTCTCATAGTAAGTGATACATTTTGGTAATTTTGAACATTTTGTTGTTCATTGCATTCAAATGCATCTATGTTCTATCTTGATTATTTCCTCTAACAATATTATAATTGTCTTGGTTTCTGGTTCTGACATTTTATGTATGGATTGTATACATATCCTGCAGCATCAAACTTTTATTTTAGTTCTGGGCATATTTGTAGCATATTGTCCTTTCTGCTTTAAGCCAGTGCTACTTATACTTACTTTTTCCTCCGGTAGCTTTTGGGATATCTTCAACCTGAGGCTCATTCTATAGTATCATACTGACATTTTCTTGGTCCTGAATGTCTATATTGCTTTTATAATAGAATAGTGGAATCAGATACTATTTTATTTTCTAATGAATATTTAGCTGATAATTTATATATTACCTCCATGCTATGGGTTACCATTCATATACTTCCAAAGGTATAGCTCATATTGTTACAAACCCCTTTCACCAATACAAGTTCATAGTCCATGATGGGGCTTAAATATGCCAATTGAAATCAATAAGATTGTTAAGTTAATTTTAATACATCTGATCTGGATTCAGACTAGACTCAGTCCAATGTACATCTCTCTCAAGAAAGATTAAAATATACCCTTATGCAGATCTTTTAAGAGTAACGTATTTGCATACAAATCGAAGTGTCAGTCATAAAAAATACTTGTATACATTAATATAAAGTAGCCCCCTTTCTAGAAATATAAATAATAGTAAAATGTTTATATACTTTATATCTTTATATACTGGATCATCATCATGACATTCCTTTCCTCTAAAAGCTCATTGGTTTTAACCATACATTTTGTAGAGCAGGATAAGTGTTTATTTGAACATATGCAATCAGAAATAAAAGGGTGAGTTTTTAAATATCAAGAGGAAAATATCAGTGGAAAATATAAATATATATCAAAGTTTTTATGCATTTCAATATTAAGGTGAAGGAGTGAGTTTATGGTATTCAAATAGTAAGATAGAATTGATATGCACTGCAAAATAATGTCAACACTTTAAAAATATGTACCATTTATTAAACAGAATGTAGGTTTGTGAATTTCTAGTAGGAAAAATAATTGGAAAACAGACAATGGGATTCTGATACTTCTAATTCTTCTGGATTCCTCAATACTTTACAGGCCACAGTTATCAATGAAGACATCATCTTTAGCTTATTATTCAGTGAAGTGAATTTGTGAACCAGTCAGCTCTGCTTATTTTTTTTGAATGGGATTGTGTTCCCCTGTAAAGACCAGCTTCATCTGTGACATCATACAACCTCAAAATTAAACTGTTATATTATGGTTTAATGCAATGGAGACACATCTTTGAACATAGTTTGGAAATCTAAATCAATATGAATATAAGTGATTATATCAACTGATTTAAAAAAAAATCCTAAATAGTAAACCTATGCAATGGTTTAGATTTGATGGCTGCAAAAGGCTGCCATGTGTTCATAGTAACAGATGTGCCTGCTTCAAATGTTTATTTATTTAATGGATGGCTGAACTCCTGTATGACTCTTTGGCAGCTTACAATTAAAAAAAGCCTCCAACATATAAAATGAATACAAGAGACAAGAAGAGCAAATACAAAGACAAACGAAAACAAATCAAACCTATCCCAAAAGGGGTGCAAAAAAAAAAAAAAAAAGAATCTCTTGCAGAGTTGCAGATGGGTATTATCAATAAAGGAGAATATTTGTAGCACAAGATTGAAATGTGCACTGATGATGTTACCTAGTTAGGGTAATGAAATATCTGCAAGAAAACAACCAAGCTCAGAGACCACCAAGAATCCTCAGATAGGTGATATGTTCCTATATATTCCAAAGCACCCTTTTGGAATTAAATACCAGCCTGGCAAAACACTCAAAAATACTCTGAATCTATGGAGATCTATTAAGTGAGTTGTTTCTATTGCTCTCACATCTGCATTTGAGTTCTTTGCATGAGGCCTGATACATCATAGCATATGACATAGCAACACATCTGTTGATATGTCATATCAACACATAGCCTTCTACTGTAGAATTTTCTACCAAGAAACCCATATAATATGCTACTAGATTTCTGAAAGGAGATAACTTAAATATTATATGTTAAGGGATGGGAGAATTCAAATACATTCAAATACATTCAAAATGGCTATATGTCACAAATCAATTTTATTAATTTAAACGCAAAGTGAATGGAGGAAAGATTCTGTACATAATGGTTGACACAACACACTGTTTGTACAATAAGGGCCAGACATACTTTTAGTCAGCATACAGATTAACTCCCTTCCCCAAAAAGGAAGGGGGAGCAGGAAAAAAAATCCTTAGTTTTGCCTAAAACAAAAACCAGCTTTGCAACTGAAAGACTTACATGTCTGCTTAACCACAGACTTTAAGCAGTCCTAGCATTGGCTTGTTTTGGGTAGATCAAGTTACTGAAGATGAAGGGCTATATTTATAATCAAACAGTTTGAAATAAGTCACAAAATAATGTAAACTTTAGCAGCAATATGCATCCCCCACAAAAAAGGAATTGCCCCAATAAGGCTGCATGAAGCTTTGATTCAAATTGAGGGAGAATCATCAAATCAAATTTTCACACAAGTGCCTATTTGAATTTATTCAGCTAAACTTACAGATTATGGATGTGAATTGAATTTTTAAATTGAATTACAAGTTCAAGTTGGATCTTGGCCGAATCACATACACTTATTGCCTAATAGCTATTTTTGCTACTAGCTGGCTTAAAAGCTGGTTTATTCTACAAAAATAAAAATCTAGAAAGTAAAATATATCTAAAATATGTATTACTAGATAAGCCAGCTGAGCCTAATATTAAAATTTAGGCCAAGAATTTATACTCATGCATAGATTCAGGCAGGTTTGGTGTAATAAGGGCTTTGTTTAGTCATGGGTTTAAACATGGACGCTCACAGGATATTACATATATTTTCTCAACCTTTGCCAATTTTTCCTTCCCATTTATCAATAGCTAAGAATCCTGATTAAATATGAAAACATACTGCTGTTGGTATAATATAGTAGGAAATAATTTTTGAGGAAGATACAAGATGCATTTGTTACTAATTCTGGCCAAGTAAGCCAAACTGATTTATCTAAATCAGGTCAAAATAAAACTGTCAGGATTGTCGCAGATTAGTAAGAAAGGATAGAATTAATTAAACAACTACAAACAATGAAAACAAAATTGGCAATTACAATTTTACTGTGCCCATTGCCAGCAATGGACCAATACAAAAATCTGATTGTTAATGCGAAATTGTCAAAATTAAGGATCTTCCAGACATTTGCCATTCTTAGTTTCAATTCAAGATGTGGGTTTACAAATAAAATCATTTCAAAATGCTTGCAGGTTTTAAGCATTCTAATGCTTAAAGAAATATGCATCACCACTATAGCTTCTTATTTTAAGTAAACACCACATGGTTTGGGACATATTGTGCTCTCATGTAGAGTTAGAAAAGATTTGGAATTTCTGTTTCTAAATTACCCATCTTAAAATTCTTAACTCCTACTGTGCCTGGTCTTTTCAATAGGAGGTGTTAATGAGATTTGGGACTGCTATAATTGACATGCTTACTTTCGAATTAAGCTCATTGAATTTGGTGCTGGCAAGGCATATAGAATATGGTTATTAAAGTGTATAATTTTTTTGCAACAAATTGGTTATTTTTAAAAAAGTAAGACTAGTTTCCATAGTCAGTATGTATTGACTGACTCCCCAAAAGCATTTCCTGTTCTATTTTAAGATAAGATATTTAGGTTTTGAGTGCAAAAACATCTTTTTTACTTTATTAAATCATGATACATTACACAATGTTATCTTTTTAAAAAGTTCTCTATATTTCTGACAAAAAGAATAGATTATTACTCCACATTCAATATTTGCACAAGAAGACAATGACTTGAATGCAAATATTTTTTCATTGGCAGAATTCCAGTAATATTGCTCCTGACAGTAAAAATAGAAATAGGGAGAAGTAATTTTTGTCACTCTCTCCTTTCTCCTAAAATCCTGTTCTGGAACTTATCCCATTTGTTTGCAACATATTTCTGGGGATTCCTGGGGTACAAATAATAAAAAAAATGATTTTATCCATTAGGAGGATTCTTCTATTGTATCAACATCCTTCCATGGACAGAAGCTGTTCAGTTTATGATTCAAACCAGTTAAACAAAAGGAACAGAACACTGTGCTCAGTTTGCAAGCAGTACTAATACATATGATTCATATTAGTTAGGAATATATTTTCATGTGTAAACTTGCTACTTTTCTTGGCAAAGTACACATAAACAACGACAAATCAGGCCTCTATATGCACTTTAAAAGAAAAGTAACAATTTAACCAAGCAAATTTTTCTCATCTGATTTAAATGAAGTATATTTTGCACTCGAACCTATATTTTCAAGTACAAAGTATAAATGAGAAGGTAGCCTATTATAGGCAAGGTAAAATTAGGGATTTGATATTGTGATATAACAAATTTTCAAAGAAAAAACCTAAAAGAATGAATAAAAAGTGATTCCTCATTGACACTTGACAACCATGGTTTTGGTCTTGATCTTAAAAATTTCAATTTACACATTATACACAATTCTTTTATAAGGCACAGCACAATAGTTTGTGCACACACTGCCTCATTCTTCACCAAAAATCCATTACTACTATTCAATAATATTTGTCTAAACAATATGTAAAACATTGTCCATTAGAAATTTACACAAAAACATTCTTCCTGTACACGATTGTCTCAGTGATGTACTTATTTGCTTAAATTAGAAATACTTCTACTTTGCAATGTGCTAAAACCAAAATCTTTCTGTGATCAGAAGGCAATGACGAGATATAGCCTTCCCACATATTGTACATATCCACATTTAAATGATGACGTCAAAACAGAATCTGTTCATAAATAAGTAAAGATTTACAGAGTACCCTGGATCTGAGGAAAAAAACAAGAATAAAGTAAACCTTTAAAAATGTGTCCATGTTTTTTAAGTTCAGTCTTAGTTGTGCAATCAGGTTTGCTGTATTTAAGATGTGTTCATACCACATTGGAGATTCTAGAAATCACAAAGCACTTCCCAGTCTCTTCACATGTATGAACATTTAAATGTAGTGAATGTGGTAAGAAGACTTCGCTAAAACATTTTCATAATGGCTTGTTCTCATTGGATTCACAGTACTAGAATGAACAGCTGCTTCTGAAGAAAAAGATGTGATCTGCTATTTATTGAAAGGGCAAAGGTTAAGACCATCTGCAGCTGCACATCAACATGATGAAATCACAAAATTCTGTAGGCCAGTGCTGAAACAAGACTCAGGAACACCGTCCACAGATGTGAGGGAGGTTCCAGAGGGTACAAAGTGCTACTATAAGTATTCCAGTTCCAAGGCATGATGAAGCGCCATAAGGTCAGAGTGACTTGAGATCCTCCAGAATGGCATGGCATGCTGTGACAATATAAACACATTATAGGGAAACAATGTTACATGCTGTTTTATTATCACACTAGATTTAGCTTTTCCATATTGCAAACTAAGTCAACAAGAATGCAAAAACATTGTCAAAAATCATCAACCCTATAAGAAATGCATACTTAATTGTAAACAAAGAAAGACATATAAAGGCAGATCACACTGAAAGCAAGTACGTTAAATAATGCAAACTTACTGTGTTAAAGTCCTGTCTATTTTACTTTTTTTTGCAAGTATTATTACAAATATATCTCGAAATGGATTCTATTCAGGATAATACTTTCCATTAAGAATTCTAGCTTTTCACAAATAAAGATGCTGGAGCCAGGTGCCGCTATGGCCGATGCACAGAAGTAGTAATGCCTAAAGCAATCATTTTATTCTCTAGTAACATTTGAAAAATATTAATAATTATGCATTTAGTCTGAAGTGTGAAATGCCATGAACTACCCCACTAATGCAAAGTCACACTAGAGCAGGGGTAGGCAACCAAGCTGGCTCAGGAATTCTGTGAGTTGAAGTCCACGAGTCATAAAAGAGCCAAGGTTGCCTATCCCTGCACTAGAATAATAATTTGCTATGTATCTATGGGGATTTTCAGTTAGAACTGAAAAAGCTTTTTGCATGAGAAGCAAAACATCTTCAAGGAAAAACAAAGAAAGTCCAATTGCCTTTTGAAAAATCACCTTTGAAACAATTTGTTATGAACTTCATTATGTATTCAAATTTAGGACTAATGTTCTGAGATTCTTTTGCTAAGTGACTCTAAGTCAAGCCTATGTTTCCGAATACAACAATCTCAAAATAAAACAAAGTGCTTTGATTAAAAAAATGCTGAACCAGAGTGTCTTAAGTGAGCTTCATAAAGATAATACAGGTTGTCAACAATATCTTTAGATGCACTAATTCTTATCACTTGTACAACGTATAAAACAGCAAAATAATATTCATAGTTGGAATCCAAAGAATAATTACTAAGTGTTGCTATTTACAGTGCGTACGTGAATGATTGCCAAATGTCCTTTTAAGCCACAATACTTTACACTTCATTTAAATTCCACTCCAGAAGTTTCCATAACCATCACGACCAACTATAAAATGGTTAAAATAAGACGGGACAAATAATCTTTAAACCATGTGCAGCCCTCGGAATCCTAGCAAAGGTTCATAAAATTCCATAACATTCCTAATATTCATAAAATTCCAAAAATGCAGCTTACTGTTTTTTACCTGAACAATTAATTGTTTAGACTATAATTTTTTAAAATCTCTATCAGCCTATATGTCAATAGTTTAATCTGAGAAACAATTTGGAAATTCTTTTTAAATAGTCAAGTAGGCCAGTTTGGTAGGATTAGAGTTAGATTTAGGAAAGACAGAAACAAAATAAAGAGAAACAGTCTAAAATGATTAATTTGGTTACACATTTGGTGTGATGATTAATGAACTATTCATTACTAAACATTTTGTTTCTGTCTTCTTGTTGACAAATAAGTAGTCTAAGAAAAATCCTATAATATAATTATTTAACTTAATCCTTTCCTATTCCTTCATAGCACATGGACATAGGTAACATTGACCTTCCAACAAGAAAATTAAATATACAAGGAAGTATGCATATAAAATTTAAACATATTTGTAAATAATGCAAATACTGTCAATGACTGTACAAATACTCTGTACTCGTGTCAACAAGTTCTTATATTTTTTTATTACAGATTTTGTTCAAGGGACTGTTTTTTAACATCTTTCTTTATATGGCTATCAGCAAGAAACAATTGTTTGAAATAAGAAATATCACAACACAGGCTACAGCTTGGGATAGACTTATAAGTACCATATATTCCGGTGTATAAGGCAACCCGGCGTATAAGACGACCCCGGACTTCGGCGCCGAGTCGCATGCCTAGAAAGTCATCTTATATGCCGGAAACTACCGTTATTTCCGGCGTATAAGATGACCCCCAACTTCGGCACCGATTTCAATGCTTTTAAAAGTCGTCTTATACGCCGGAAAGTACGGTATAAACACATATTTTAATATTATTAAGATTGCTAAATTTTTAATTACAGCAATTAATTTGAATGGAAAATTAGGAATGAATGTAAAATAACTCTTCATCGTACCATTAGGTTAGACCAGGCCAGAAAATGAACTCCATAGGAAGATTAGCTACAATAATGGAATCTTCCAGTGCTGTTCCTCCTTCTCATCATCTCCAGCGAATCAGAGCAGGGCTTGTTAAACTGCTTCTAAATATTATTTTGTTTCCTAAGACTTTAAAAAGGTTTTAACCCCCTTTCTTTAGGTAATAGTTCTTGCCTGTTTTTCTATAGCACCTCACATCTCCAGTATCAGTAACATACTGATCTTACATACTACAAGCTCAAACTGAAAAAAAAACCCCACTCCTTTATTTTCATGCTTGAAAAATCACAATATGGTAATTTGGGAAAGGCTAGATAAATAACTAAGCATTATGATAAATATTGGTAATATTCAGATGTAGATATTTTCTAGTATGGTAAGCATGTCGTACATATAGATAAAAAAGTTCATACATCATGATTCTTATCTGCATCAGTTATCCTGTGAATTAGTCCAAGTAGTTTTTCTCATTTATTATTACATGGACAAATATTTTAATTATCCAACTGCCATGTATCAGCCTTGCATACAATACTGATTCTGAATACCTTTCATCTATTCTCCAATACAGAATAGTCTAGGCTCTAAGCCATAATATTTTAACAGCATACTTGAATTAGTTTATTGGCAGCAGAGATGACTAGAACATCCAGTTGAAGAGCAGCTGGCAAGATAGCAGCTTGTTTTTTGACTGTCAGCTGTAGTCAGGGTGGAACTCTAACTTGACCACTTGAGACAAATAGCAACTGGGATTGAATAAAATTAGTTTGTGTGGTATGTAAGAGTACCTAACTTAAATCCTTTTATTTTAGTTTGTGTTCTGACTATTCATACAGCAACGGAAGGAACATTTGCAATTCTTTGATTATATAACACCATCTGTGTGCTGTACATGTGTTATAAAGAGTTCTGCCATGGCTCCAGCTCACATCTTCCTGCAATTTCATCCAAACTTAGGCCAAAAGAATAGAGAAGGTACATTTGCTATGATGGGCAAAGAGCCAGCACAGTTTGTTCTTTCACCAAAAGATCAGGCATACGGGAGGAAAATCTCCCTGCTGGCAGCATTGGCAGCGTGAGATCCACAGGGTTTCCTTTATTATTCTGGATTCAGCAAAAACCACAATTGAGACCTTTACATTGAAGGCATATAAATATAGTCACAGACAGCCTGAAAAGTAGTGTTTTGGGGGTGAGGTAAGAATATGAATGGTCACAGACTCGGGAGGATGTTTTTCTCAGGCATGAATACATATGGTTACCAAATTCATTGTTGATATAATCCCATTTAATTCACTGTTGTTTTGCCAGGAGAAAATGTGGCTGCTGCCTTGTGTCCTAGGCTGGAAATTTCTTCCGGCAACAAAGAACACATGAAAGTAGTGCCTTCTGAGGATGGTTCATATTTATTTATTTATTGTATAAGCATCCAATTATATGAGAAAAAGCTTCATCAAAGTCATGAGAAAACACGATAAAGATTGCACTGTAAGTTGTAATTTACATTTTAAAAACTGCTTATTAAATGTTAGCACAAATTTAAGTGCATAATTCTTTTACCAAGCACAGTATGCTTTTCAATTATCACAACACAAAAGAAATACTGTTTAGACTAAATATAGAAATAGATTGCAAGGTAAATATTTGCAAGGGAAAGACTTTGGAGGACCGGACAAAGGGACGTTGCCAAGAGAATGGTCAGATAAGAGACAGCATAGCCTGCAGATAGAAGCAAGAGGTTCTCAGGTGTTAAAAGAGATGGGGAGGGCCATACTTTCAGACTTGCAATATTTTGTCACTGTAGCTTACAATAAAGTAGAATTAGCTCAATTAATTGTGAGTCTTACCTGGCTTACCCCATGAGGCCAACAGCAATCTTGCTAGGCTGAAAGCATAATTCTCCTCCCCACCCCCCGCCCAAGGTCTTTCCCACGTTCGAATACAATACTTGATTTTAAAATTTATCATTAAAGCTTAAAAATAATTTTATTTTCGACAGTTCTCCAACATTTTTCCTTGAACAATAGCTATAGCAGTGCAACCCAAAGGAAAAGACGTTGTTGCTCTAAGAACTTACTCTCTTCATCAAAGTTTCCCTAGTTAAAATTACCCAAGCAACTTCATCTCATGAGAACAAAGATCTCAGTATTTATCAAATCTCACAGATAGCAAACAGCATGAACTAGAAGTGCTAGACCAAGAAGAGTTACAAGTTATGGAAAGAATTTAAAGCCTGTAATGATTTAACATTTTGATTGTTCTAAACTTGAAAGAAAGCCCTTATGTTCTTTATTATATTATAACAAATATTTTCTTTCAAACTCCATTGTTTTAACTGTGGAAGCAACATGGATTTTAGTAGGGCTCTCATTCCAAATCTTTTGAATAAAACCAACCAACTATGCAACTATGGCAGATAGGCTGTCCCTGAAGTAACTGCAGGGGTTTATAGGTAATAATCAACACTTGAAATTGCATTTGGAAGCAAAGCAGCAAACGCTGCAGTTTGGAGAATAGAGGTGTCCCATGCCCACATGTTCTAGACCAGCTGAAGCTTCTAAGTAGTTTTCAAGGGCAGCATTTTGCAGTAGTTGAGCCTGACTAGGGCATGAATGACTGAAGAACCACCTAGTACAGGAAAGGCACATTGGCACAAAAATATTGCTCAGCAAAGGCTACCTGGCTACAATTGCCACTTTCTTTTTAAGCAGAAGTTGTGAGTCCAATTGGACTTTTATTCGAGAGTATGAATGGAAAGTCCTCAGATCCAGGGGTCCAAATATCTACAGCCCAACATCAATGTTGGTAGGATTGAGTTGGAATTAGTTCCTCCCCATATTCAGGCCTATTCAGCCCCTAAGCACTGGGACAAATCTTCAGTTTCCCCATTTAGCCAACCTGGATATAAATGGGTATCAGCATATTGATGGCACAGCATTTGCTGCTGCTTTTTGGCAAAGACAAAAACGCTGCTTGCACTTTGATGCAATTCTCCTTTTTCAAAAATCTGTTATGGAGAGATTAAAATTGATTTCAGTAGATATCGTGAGTGAAGGCAGGGATTATAAGAATGCAGATTGCATGTTATAAATATAAATAGAACATCTAATTCTATTAATGATTTGGCTGCCTTGGTGCATGTTTTTATTCTTTGAATTATATTATGTCCGAATGTAGTTGAATTTAAGGATGATTTAAAATTTCATTGAGGTTTTTGCTGTTTTGGACTGATTTGAGCTTTGGTATATAGATACCAACGCTCTTGTGTTTTGATCCTATTGAGCTTCATGGTGTCTTTAAATACAGATTTTGATAGTTTGTAAAGCCTTGGGCAGTGGAGCTTGTTTTTAAATTTTGGAGCGCTACTATAAAATAAAGTTATAAAATGAGTAAAACATCAACACTGGAATTTTTGCAGCTTTAATATGCAAACTGTCACAAATGGTGCAGTATGAAATCTTTTGTGTATATTTTGCAACTTTGCAAGTAACTATGCAGACTGCAAAATCAAATGTGTTGTCTGAACTTTTTATGTTAACACACACACACGTATATATGCATGTATAAGATGGTAATCCATAATGAGGTGGTAATCTGTGCTGACTACTATCTGCTATCCAAACTACATTAAAAGACAGCCAGAAACCCTCATAAGAAAATATGTTTCCCATTTAGTTCAAATATGTAACAAAAAGCCTTTCTTCTCTCACTATTTTCTGCTCCAAGTATCAGTTTTTATGGTTGCTTTTCAGGAACCTTAGAGAGAAAGTGTCTGAGAAGACAAATATGTATATTACCTGAGATAGCTTGGTCCTAAGAGAGAATGTTCAATGCAGTGTAACTAAAAGTTCATCATTTTCAAAGGAGGGAAGAATAATAGATTGCATACTAATTCACCACTACAAATGCATAGTCCTTGGAACAAGCCTGAAGCCACCTGTATGTATATATGAAAGCAGATAATGTTTATGTTTGATAAAACTTTTTATTGATCTTGAGGTTGATTGTTAATATATAATTTTATGTTATTTGTTGAACTATATCTAGTTCACTAAGTGGCCAAAATATTATTTGAGCAACATATTAATTTGGCTGGGGGGGGGGGTGGAGCTGTTGATTTCTTTTAAAATCTTTGAAGAAATGATTTGCATTTTCTGTTTTTAGCTTGTAAGTGTAAAACATTTTTATTTTATTAACATGGTTTATTTACTAGGTTTATGAATTTAAAAAACTTAAAATCAATAATCATGGATAAAAGAGTAAGCTATACTGAGCACCATGGGATCTACTTATGAGGAAGTATACGTAACAACTTTCTCTGACTTGATTGCCTCCAAATGTCTTGAAATGTCCTTCCAATTAGCCACAGTCACTATGGGCATGCTTGGAGGGGAGACAATGAAGATTTTAATTAAAATGAACTATACTTTATTTGAATAAATTATATAAGATTTTTTTTTTAAATCTTGTGTCATTACCTTTTTTGCTCCTTGTTCTTCTTCCACACCATCTCCTATGACAACATAAACTACTTTTCTTCCAAATCTTTGAATTATGCGCTCAAAACAGCTTTCTTTTCCTAGAAAGTTCAAGCATATCATCAAGCCCCAATTTGGGAAAGAATAATGTAGTTTATTTCAGTTTAGGAAGCAATAAAATGGCTGGACATGTTTGTTTTATACTGTAAAATAATTATTCCTGAACTCCTGTACTTACTAGGTAAAATTGATTTAACTTGATGCTAAGATCATTAAGTTATAAGTGGGCAATTGAAATAAATGTTCTTATAACAAAACCACATATAATAAATAAAAACATAACAAACCATTTAATGATCCAGGTCAGAATTATCCATGCTTATCAATAATGATTAGTTCTAAATAATTATATAATCAGTTTTAAATGCTCAATGAGATTTGGAACTTGAATAGTATGAACTTGAACATGAATAACAGATTCTGTTCATTGTAAACACTCACCTATTTTTGTTGCACTGTAAATATTTTCTATTGGAAATACCACACCTAAACCATATAGCAAGACTTTGGCAAGAGCTGGGATAAGCTGAGTAGTCGTTACTAAAATATTGACACAATTTGTCCTAGGAGAATGTAAAGAAGTATTTTATTATAATCAAACAAAAACTGCAATACCATCAACAAATTATTAGTTTCATTTAAAAACCTGGAAGGAAAATTTAGTCTACAATTAAGGCTAGGAAGGGTTCATAGATGGAGAAATAGTATTTCTATGGATCCAATATACAATAACTAGGATTCTCTATTTTCTGCTTTTTTTCTGGCTCTCGGTTCTTAACAAGGCTGATACTTGAAGGTATAAGGCAGACCATCAATGATGGATATTTAAAGGTTCCCAAGAATTCATGGAGACTAAGTCCACTGTAGTATTAAATCAAATTCTATGTTTATTATAGCATTGCTCCCTCCCCCCTCAAAAAGTACCCTAAGGCTGTTTATTCTACTTCAATATAGGGTCATATTTCCCAAAATGACCTAGAACAGAGAATGTCATTTGGTAAGGCTGGTAAACTGCAGGAGTTTAATTAGAATGTAGGTATTCTTGCTATCTATTCTGGAAATCCCAGTTTTTCATAACACAGAAATACTGTGTCCCAATAGTGAATATTTTGTAGTTTGTTGGACATATCACAAGTTGGACACTTGCTGTGGAATGCAGATGTAGTGCTACTTAGAAGAACTAGGAAACTGTGGATCAGATTAGGAAGGGCTATGTGACTGAGCAGAGTGATAAGAGTGAAGCCATACATTCCTTATGCAAAAGGAGGAGGAAGAAAGAGTATATATGTCTACATGCCAACTACCTACTGCAAAACTCTGGAACTTGGATGCCAGTAGATGCTTCCAATTATTAATGGGGTGGGTAGACTGGTAGGATCTGCATACATTCCTAGCTTGTCCCTCTCCCCATCTTGCTAAGCAGTGGAAAGAAGGATTAAAAAAAATTATATAGATAGAAGAGAACCCTTTTGAGTTCCAATAAGGTTTTTGTGTTGGAATCATATAGATCCTTTGAAAAAAAGGATGAGACCTTTATTGGGCTGCTTGATGAGATATAATATACCAAAAGTAGAGAAATCTTGTCCTTATGCCCCATGTTTCAAATGCATGGAGGTAGCACTCACTTCTGTCCCTGGAAGAAGGCTATACTGGATGCTATTGGTAAAGCAATGGTGTGTCATTATAGTTTATAACTATTCTGTATGCATCATAGGACAGAAACTAAACAGTTAATGCAGTACAATAGAAAAAGATTTATGAAATATATGGATACAAAGATAGTAATTGGCCAAATCTACCTTATAGGGCTATTATTGTGAGGTAAAACTGTTGCAAGTGGGGAAGTGGTCTCTAAACTTCCTCAACTTTTCTGGAAAAGACAGGCTATGAACCTAAGAAATAAATTTAATAAATTAAAGAGTTAAATTTTATTGCTATCTTGCCTGGGATATATAGAAATAATTCTGTATAATAAGTTAAATAGCAAATTTTCTCTTCATCTGTCACTACTATCAACTAATCTACTACAGCATGATGCTATAGGGGGAAAATGGAACAATTCATGTCCACTTTTATAACAACACTGCACATCAATTCACCAATTTTTAAAATGCCATATTTTATAAAACTATAAATTTTAATTAAACCAGCTATTCCTAGCAACGCATAATATATTAATTGTAACTTACAGAATTGGAAAATGTATATTTACATTTTAGATCCAGTTAGTCCAGGGGTGTCAAAATCGCAACATCACGTGTTTTGATGTATCACGATTTTTTTTCAATTGCCGGCAATGGGGTGGGCATGGTTTCACCATGACGCATCTGGCCTGTGGGCCGGCAGTTTGACACCCTTGAGTTAGTCTGTATTACTACTTATGTGAAATCTACTTACCTAGAGTGAATTAGTGTCAGTGCTTTCAGTGCAAGCGTTAACCACGAATCTGTAAGGGCTTCAATTTCTGTTCTAAGCTGCAACCAAGCTTCTCTCTTTGATGGGCCCAGAAGACCTGCCAGGGAATGAGTGAGGGAGAACAAGCACTATAGCATTTACATGTCAACTATAATCCCTTGTCATGTTTTACAGTTGTAAATAGGTGGGAAAACTTAACCACAAGATTCAAAAACTTCACACTGCAATGAAACAGTAATTACATGGACAAGGATATGATGGGTACTTGCCTCCAACATTATTTTTATATGTGTTATAGATTTCTTTTACTCGTCTGTATCGGAAAGCTAGCTTTCTCATCCAGTCCACTCCTCCACGCACCCCTGTTGCTAAGCATAGATTAGCACTGGTAGCTGCTGCAGGAAACCCATCTGTCCCAAAGTTATAGGTGCTGTTTTGGATGTAAGAAAATTTTAAAAATTATCAGATAGTTGAAGATAACTGAATTTATGCTGGAATTTTAGATGTCTTGGAAAAGAATAGAAATAACAGTATTCGGAAATTATTATAAACAATTTTATATTATAAAAAGCTGAAAACAAGCAGGCAAACAAAAACTTCTATTTTTTCTATCACTGTCCTATATTAGTGTAAATTTACCTTAAATCCTGGCCATTATCATCTGACGAAACATCATCAATATGAACTTGGTCACATTCCTATAATAGAGGAAAATCCACTATATTTACTTTAATTTGCCAATTGCAATACAACAAATACAAATAACAAATAGCAATTTTTAAAGACAATCATATTTACTTTTTATATTGCTATAGCTGAATTGATAAAAGTAATTTTAGACACTATTGTTAGAATTTAGAAAAAAAACTGCATTTGGAAGGAAGGTTGTTAAAATAATTATGTACATTCTTATACATTTTCAGCCACCCTCCAGTTTTAAGTTATTCCAAAGGGTTTTCAGGCAGTGCAGTGTATAACTCAAACCAGACTTCTTGGTAAATGTAACTTATTAGAAAAATTAAATCTGATGCTAACCACCAATGAAACTATGACCTCTGATTGCTGTTGAGCCACACACTAACACAGCCTGAGGCTAACATTTTAGAAGAGTGCAGACAAAAAAGAAAAAGTTATTTATTTTTCACTATTTCTGCTTTTTCTGAAAAGTGCAAACCCAGAGTAAAGTAGAAGCACTTCGAAGATTTACAGAATGCTCTAATTTACTTCTTAAATCCACTGCATAGAACAAGTCCTTTATTTGCTTATAATTGGGCAAATAAAAATACTTTATTATCTCAACATTAAACAACAGAATCACTATTACTGTTAGTACTGATATTTTACTGCTGATAAATAAAACAGCGTTCAGAATTGTGTTTAATCTAACTCCAAAGTCTATGGTTTCTTTTAAAAGTCCTAATGTAAATACCAATAGCAAAGATGATCCATTCGTAAAGTTGTGATACTCCAGAGATGCATATTTCTGTGTTACTGGTTCTCTCTGAACAATTTTTTCAATCTCTCTATGGGCTTGGAGGGAGGGAGAGGAGCTAGAAGTGGAAAGAAACTCAAAACAGCTGTTCTCTAACAGAATTAAAATCATGACCGTTAACCTTTTTTAAAAAACCCTTTTCTCAGCCAACCCTGTCCCAGCAAGCAGTGAGTTCCAAGGAGGAAAAGACTTTGACCCTATAACCTTCTTCACCTCTCCTGAGGTCAACAACCTCAGATAAGAAAAAAAAATGAAGAATGGCCTCACATTATGACTATGAGTGTAAGTCTTTTAAATAGAGAAAACATAGGCTACTTTAGAATAGCATTAGGACTTATATACCGAATAGGCAGGATGACAAAAGAGATATTGGATAAAATAAAAGAAAACTGCTACAATCTGTCTGAGGTTTAGTAAAATCAAAGTCACAAACTTAAAATAAAAAAATAAAAATAATTATTTTAAAAATTACATATTTGTTTCTACAATTCTGTATATTTATTCTGATTAAAAGTTTTATACCTTGTTAGAACAGAAATCAGAAACAAAGTAGGAGAACAAAATTCCATTCCCTAAGACATATTTCTCAGTTTCACGCCAACAACTCTGCACTAAAACAGAAGTGTATTTAATGCAAATAGATATTTCCATCACCAATAAAATTAGCAAAAGTACAATTATTTGCTCTTTACAGGTAGTCCTTAATTTATGACTGTTCGTTTAACAATTTTCAAAGTTACGATGGCGTTGGACAAAGTGTCTTATGACCTGCACTTGTACTTACATCCCTATTGTCATGTAATAGTAATTTGGGTGCTTGGTAACCAGTTTGCATTTACCAGTGGTCATGTGATCATGATTTTCAACTTTTTTTGTTGATTTCGGATAAAATAACAGCATAAGGGAAGCTGGATTTGCTTAACGAGTGCTATAAAATTGTCTTAAAATTAGATCTGACTCAATTTATGACTGCAATGACTTATGATGGAAATTCTGGTCCCAATTGTGGTTGTAAGTAAAAACCTATCTGTAAATTTGCATTTGTGAATGTGTGTTCAAACATACGTACACACTTTGCTTATTTATGCTAATTTACATTCAAATTTGCAAGTAGAATAGTTATTTTTGAATAACATAAAAAGTTCAAGAATAAAGTTTCCTTTGTTGATATTTTCAGGACCTTGCAAGTAAAGAAGAAAATAATTACATATAACATAATCAGCTTTTTCTGGAAAAGAAAATAAATACTAATTTAAATTCAAAAAAATCCTTTTATAAAAGTAGTGTAGGGGAAGCAGGGAAAGAAAATGGATGGGGTACAGTTTTATTGGTTTGTCTCTTATTTCTGGAGCTTCTGGATTATATCCTACACTCTTTTGGACAGTTCTCAAAGTCTCCAAGGAACGGTTCTGTCACATGTTCCAACTAATGAAGCACTTCAAAGAACTTTCAGGCATGTTTCCTAAAATCTTTATTGCAGAGCTACAGTTTTGCCGGTCGCCATGATGGACTGGTTGATGCCAGAATCTGAACTTCCTTTCGCTGGCATCAAGCTTTCCTTGCTAAACCCCTCCCTTCTCATGCAGTCACAGGTCACATTATCCAATTAGTGAGAAGGTCAAAAGTTTGCTTCCTCTTTCTTTCCTGGGCTTTTTCCCCCGCCCAGTCTAAGCTAAGTATTAACCCAATAAATGCCAGACAGTTTTGCATATTGTCAAAGCAAGAATATACAGTATTTGCAGCATTGACAGGTTCTTTAAGCTGAAGCAAATGAAATGAGAAAGGTGACTCAAGAACTATGGATTCAATTGATTTTTCTTCTTCTCTTCCTTTCTCACAGAAATTTTTAAAAAAATATTTAAGAAAGAGGATTGTTGTTTTAAAAGATAGTTACTACCTTTATGATAAACTTTATTATAATAATTATTTTTGTTTGTTTAAGTTATGGATAATGCTATTATAGTTCTTATCTTTTATTAACAATGACTGAAACTAATCTTAACAAATATATTCCTTAGGGCAATGGTTCTCGACCTTTTTAATGCCGTGACCCCCCAACTGGTTGTAAGTCGAGGACTAACTGATCGTAAGTCAAGGACTAAACCGGTCGTAAGTCGAGGACTACCCAACCGGTCGTAAGTTGAGGACTTTCCCTGCCCGGGAGCGCCGTGCATGCATGATGCCGCCCCCTGTGCCGGCCAAGGCGTAGCTGGCAAGCGGCAGAGACGGAGCAGGCTGACCACCGGCTGGGCCACCAGCTGGCCCAGCCCAAGGGAGTAAGGCACCCGCCGGAAAAGGGGAAAAAATGGTGGACAGCCTTGCTTGGCGACCCCCGTGAAATGGTCGATCGACCTCAAATGGGGTCGCGACCCATAGGTTGAGAACTGCTGCCTTAGGGTCAAGTTACAAATAGCTTATTTTTTTAGCTGCTTAGGTAGGTCTGCTACTAAACCCAAATTTTCTAGGCCCTGTTATAATGGTAATGCAAATGTCAACTAGATGATGGTAGATAGATACAGTAGGTAGGTAGGTAGGTAGGTAGGTAGGTAGGTAGGTAGGTAGGTTAGATAGATAGATAGATAGATAGATAGATAGATAGATAGATAGATAGATAGATAGATAGATAGATAGACAGACAGACAGATAGATTTTAAAAGGTATACTTAAAATTCTAGGCAATATCTATTCCACTATTTGCTATTTAATCAGTGTGAGATTTCTAAAAATGTTCTTTGACTAAATTTCAGGTGTTAAATAAAAAAACACAAGTGAGATGCATTATTGGAGCACTGCTTTGGATAAGAAAGTTAACTTGATTGCAGGGAAAGAAATAGTAGGAAAAACAATTCAAAACAAACATATATAGAAAGGCTGAAAGAAGAATGATTGTGATAGAAAAGAGGAGAAAATGTAAAGAGAAGTCATTCTCAGTTAAGAAGACAAAGGGCACCAAGTCTGGGCTATGAGGTGTCTGATCAAAAACATCCTAATAGAACTGCTTCAAAAGTTCTTGGGTGGGTCTAGCAGTGTGCGGGTGAACATTATTGTGAACCGACACCACACCAGAAGTCAGCATGCTCTAATGCTTGTTATGAATAGCTTGTCTGAGTTTTTGTAATGTTTCACAGTCGGCTTCTGACTTGATGGTCGAACCATGCTCCATGAATGTCACTGAACAGTAGTCCTTTGGCATCTTCACATTTGGCGCGATTTTCTATGGCACCACTTCCGATGTGGTATTGGTTCACGATAATGCTCGCCTGCACACCACTAGACACACTCAAGAACTTTTGAAGCAGTTTCATTGGAATGTTTTTGGACACCCCCCCCCATAGCCCAGATGAGGCGCTGAGTGGCTATTACTAAGGAATTTCAGATTTGGTGTATAATTAAAGTTCTGTATCTGTGAGTGGTTGTCATTGATAACCAAACAGAGGTTTATTTCTGAATTGCCCTTGTACATGTTGGTCTCCAAAAACCAGATTTCCTTCATATACAACATTTGGTTCCTTAGTAATTAGATAGTATTTAGCTCTAAATTATGTTATATGGTATGAAGGGAAGAGGGAAAAAAAAATTAGATAGGAAAGACTGAGGCTTATTTTTGCAAGAATCTAATTATACAAAACAATTAGTTTACAGGTCCTTTGTTTTTATAAACTTAAAATAAAAGTGAAACATTATCTCAGTATTTTCTTATAAATATATAACTAAATAGAAAATAAGAAGTAGAAATTTGTAGCTGACTGAAAGCAGGATCATATTCATTTTATTCAAATAAATAAAATAAATAAAATAAATGTAAAGCAAAGATATTCTCAGGCAAAGTGAAATGAAGGACATAGAAAGTCACTAAATAACTTTACACTTGATTAAAAGGGACAATATGAATAATATTACTAATGTAACCTCTTCTGAGAATTGGAAATCGTTACAGACTACAGATCCAAACATGCTGATCATAGTTAAAATGCAGTCCTGTGTTTATTTAATCTTTCTAATTTACCATGAGAAAACTAACACCATGCTGTCAACTAATTGTTTCAGTGATTTGCTTTACAAAGTAAAATGAGCTGACAGGGAAATGCTCCATCAAAACTAGCTCTTTTCCTCTATCCTTTACACATCACAGTGTCCTTTGAGACTTGCTGGACATTGGCCAACTCATAGGAAATGATCAGTGGATTCTCTGTTCTCCTCCTATCT